CCCATTGACCCACCAACTGACCCACCAACTGACCCACCAACTGACCCACCAACTGACCCACTGACCCACCAACTGACCCACCCACTGACCCACCAACTGACCCACCAACTGACCCACCAACTGACCCACTGACCCACCAACTGACCCATCAACTGACCCACCAACTGACCCACCAACTGACCCACCAACTGACCCACTGACCCATCAACTGACCCACCAACTGACCCACCAACTGACCCACTGACCCATCAACTGACCCACCAACTGACCCACCAACTGACCCACCCACTGACCCACCAACTGACCCACCAACTGACCCACCAACTGACCCACCAACTGACCCACCAACTGACCCACTGACCCATCAACTGACCCACCAACTGACCCACCAACTGACCCACTGACCCATCAACTGACCCACCAACTGACCCACCAACTGACCCACCCACTGACCCACCAACTGACCCACCAACTGACCCACCAACTGACCCACCAACTGACCCACCAACTGACCCCACCACCCACCAACTGACCCACCAACTGACCCACTAACTGACCCACCAACTGACCCACCAACTGACCCACCAACTGACCTGTCGTCTGATCCACTGACCCACCAACTGACCCACCAACTGACCCACCAACTGACCCCACCACCCACCAACTGACCCACCAACTGACCCACCAACTGACCCACCAACTGACCTGTCGTCTGATCCACTGACCCACCAACTGACCCACCAACTGACCCACCAACTGACCCACCCACTGACCCACCGACTGACCCATCGACTGACCCACCAACTGACCCACCAACTGACCCACCAACTGACCCACCAACTGACCCCACCACCCACCAACTGACCCACCAACTGACCCACCAACTGACCCACCAACTGACCCACCAACTGACCCACCAACTGACCTGTCGTCTGATCCACTGACCCACCAACTGACCCACCAACTGACCCACCAACTGACCCACCAACTGACCCCACCACCCACCAACTGACCCACCAACTGACCCACCAACTGACCCACCAACTGACCCACTAACTGACCTGTCGTCTGATCCACTGACCCACCAACTGACCCACCAACTGACCCACCAACTGACCCACCAACTGACCCACCAACTGACCCATCAACTGACCCACCAACTGACCCACTGACCCACCAACTGACCCACCAACTGACCCACCAACTGACCCACCAACTGACCCACCAACTGACCCACCAACTGACCCACCAACTGACCCACCAACTGACCCAACAACTGACCCCACCACCCACCCACTGACCCACCAACTGACCCACTAACTGACCCACCAACTGACCCCACCACCCACCCACTGACCCACCAACTGACCCACTAACTGACCCACCAACTGACCCACCAACTGACCCCACCACCCACCCACTGACCCACCAACTGACCCACTAACTGACCCACCAACTGACCCACTAACTGACCCACCAACTGACCCACTAACTGACCCACCAACTGACCCACTAACTGACCCACCAACTGACCCACCAACTGACCCACCAACTGACCCAACAACTGACCCCACCACCCACCAACTGACCCACCAACTGACCCACCCACTGACCCACCAACTGACCCAACAACTGACCCCACCACCCACCCACTGACCCACCAACTGACCCACCAACTGACCCACCAACTGACCCACCAACTGACCCAACAACTGACCCACCAACTGACCCACCAACTGACCCCACCACCCACCCACTGACCCACCCACTGACCCACCAACTGACCCACCAACTGACCCCACCACCCACCCACTGACCCACCAACTGACCCACCAACTGACCCACCAACTGACCCAACAACTGACCCCACCACCCACCCACTGACCCACCAACTGACCCACTAACTGACCCACCAACTGACCCCACCACCCACCCACTGACCCACCAACTGACCCACTAACTGACCCACCAACTGACCCACCAACTGACCCCACCACCCACCCACTGACCCACCAACTGACCCACTAACTGACCCACCAACTGACCCACTAACTGACCCACTAACTGACCCACCAACTGACCCACCAACTGACCCACTAACTGACCCACCAACTGACCCACTAACTGACCCACTAACTGACCCTCCCACTGACCCACCAACTGACCCACCAACTGACCCACTAACTGACCCACCAACTGACCCCACCACCCACCCACTGACCCACCAACTGACCCACTAACTGACCCACCAACTGACCCACCAACTGACCCCACCACCCACCCACTGACCCACCAACTGACCCACTAACTGACCCACCCACTGACCCACCAACTGACCCACTAACTGACCCACCAACTGACCCACCAACTGACCCCACCACCCACCCACTGACCCACCAACTGACCCACCAACTGACCCACCAACTGACCCACCAACTGACCCACCAACTGACCCACCAACTGACCCACCAACTGACCCACCAACTGACCCACCAACTGACCCACCAACTGACCCACCAACTGACCTGTCGTCTGATCCACTGACCCACCAACTGACCCACCAACTGACCTGTCGTCTGATCCACTGACCCACCAACTGAACCACCGACTGACCCACCAACTGACCCACTAACTGACCCCACCACCCACCAACTGACCCACCAACTGACCCCACCACCCACCAACTGACCCACCAACTGACCCACTAACTGACCCACCAACTGACCCACCAACTGACCCACCAACTGACCTGTCGTCTGATCCACTGACCCACCGACTGACCCACTAACTGACCCACCAACTGACCCACCAACTGACCCACCAACTGACCCACCAACTGACCCACCAACTGACCCACCAACTGACCCACCAACTGACCCACCAACTGACCTGTCGTCTGATCCACTGACCCACCAACTGAACCACCGACTGACCCACCAACTGACCCACCAACTGACCCCACCACCCACCAACTGACCCACCAACTGACCCACTAACTGACCCACCAACTGACCCACCAACTGACCCACTAACTGACCCACCAACTGACCCACCAACTGACCCACCAACTGACCCACCAACTGACCCACCAACTGACCCAACAACTGACCCACCAACTGACCCACCAACTGACCCACCAACTGACCCACCAACTGACCCACCCACTGACCCACCAACTGACCCACCAACTGACCCACCAACTGACCCACCAACTGACCCCACCACCCACCAACTGACCCACCAACTGACCCACCAACTGACCCACCAACTGACCCACCAACTGACCCACCAACTGACCCACCAACTGACCCACCAACTGACCCACTAACTGACCCACCAACTGACCCACCAACTGACCCACCAACTGACCCACCAACTGACCCACCAACTGACCCACCAACTGACCCACCAACTGACCCACCAACTGACCCACCAACTGACCCACCAACTGACCCACCAACTGACCCACCAACTGACCCACCAACTGACCCACCAACTGACCCACCAACTGACCTGTCGTCTGATCCACTGACCCACCAACTGAACCACCGACTGACCCACCAACTGACCCACCAACTGACCCATCAACTGACCCACTGACCCACCAACTGACCCACCAACTGACCCACCAACTGACCCCACCACCCACCAACTGACCCACCAACTGACCCACTAACTGACCCACCAACTGACCCACCAACTGACCCACTAACTGACCCACTAACTGACCCACCGACTGACCCACCAACTGACCCACCAACTGACCCACCAACTGACCCACCAACTGACCCACCAACTGACCCACCAACTGACCCACCAACTGACCCACCAACTGACCCACCAACTGACCCACCAACTGACCCAACAACTGACCCCACCACCCACCAACTGACCCACCAACTGACCCACCAAATGACCCACCAACTGACCCACCAACTGACCCAACAACTGACCCCACCACCCACCAACTGACCCACCAACTGACCCACCAAATGACCCACCAACTGACCCACCAACTGACCCACCAACTGACCCCACCACCCACCCACTGACCCACCAACTGACCCACCAACTGACCCACCAACTGACCCACCGACTGACCCACCAACTGACCCACCAACTGACCCACTAACTGACCCACCAACTGACCCACCTACTGACCCACCAGATGACCCACCAGATGACCCACCAACTGACCCACCAACTGACCCACCAACTGACCCACTAACTGACCCACCAACTGACCCACCAACTGACCCACCAACTGACCCACCAACTGACCCACTAACTGACCCACCAACTGACCCACCAACTGACCCACTAACTGACCCACCAACTGACCCACCAACTGACCCACCGACTGACCCACTAACTGACCCACCAACTGACCCACCAACTGACCCACCAACTGACCCACCAACTGACCCACCAACTGACCCACCCACTGACCCATCGACTGACCCACCAACTGACCTGTCGTCTGATCCACTGACCCACCAACTGACCCACTAACTGACCCACCAACTGACCCACCAACTGACCCACCAACTGACCCACTAACTGACCCACCAACTGACCCACCAACTGACCCACCAACTGACCCCCCAACTGACCCACCAACTGACCCACCAACTGACCCATCAACTGACCCACCAACTGACCCACCAACTGACCCACCAACTGACCCATCAACTGACCCACCAACTGACCCACCCACTGACCCACCAACTGACCCACCAACTGACCCACCAACTGACCCACCAACTGACCCATCAACTGACCCACCAACTGACCCACCGACTGACCCACCAACTGACCCACCAACTGACCCACCAACTGACCCACTTATCGACCCACATTCTGACCTACTAACTGGAACTCCCACATAAAACTTAAAACAGACATCTTTTGAAGTTTGTAAAGGGTGTAAAATGTAAATAGATAAAATATCACTGCCAAGAGTCTCTTAAAAAATATATTTTTAAAAATATTTTTTTCAGGTGCAAACAGTGCAATGCCACCAAGTAGTGCTACATTTTGTGTAAAGAACGGGATCCGAACCCAGGTCTAAAAGCTCTGCTCAAGAACGTAAACATGGATACAAAAGACGTAAGTAGGTCACCCAAAAATAGCTGCAACATCAGCTCAACCTGCATCGTATCAACTTCAAAGTCAACCGTGTTGATTCATTACGATTCAAGGTCAACCGTGTTGATTGTATTACGATTCAAAGTCAACCGTGTTGATTGTATTACGATTCAAGTCCTATAAATACTATCCTATATATACTATCCTACTTAAGGTGGTAGAGTATAATCTCTCATATTGTAATACTGTTCTAGTAGACAGGCAAACGACACCCCCACCACACCCCCCCCCACCTCAGTCCACACACAGATTAAAGTGACACAACTTGGTGATTTTATTTTTATTTTTTTTACTTTTGAGACCCTCTCACCTACCAGCATCAGCATCACCATCACCATCACCACCATCAACAACATCAACACCATCACCACCATCAACAACATCAACACCATCACCACCATCAGCAACATCAACAACATCACCACCATCAGCAACATCAACAACATCACCACCATCAGCAACATCTTCAATATCACCACCATCAGCAACATCAACATCACCACCATCAGCAACATCAACATCATCACCACCATCAGCAACATCAACATCATCACCAGCTTTCAAAAAAATTAAATTCAACCGTTTGCATTACATCGCACATAGCAAGACTATTAAAAATCCCCTCCCCCCATTCCGACTTAACGACTTGTCAACAGAGAGAAAAACCGGTCAAGCGAAACCAATCAAGATGACGGCCCTATTAGTGGCACCCTATAAAAAATTGTATCGATCACTGCTCGCACAAATTAGTTCCACTCTTCAGGTAAATAAAAGACTGGGTAAAAATCTGGCAGCTTCTGTGTGGTGACGCCACTTGCCAGTGGTGGCGCCACTTGATAAAGGTGAAGCTCATTAGCGTCACATGACATGGTCAGCCAATGAAAGGCGAGGATTCACCAGGAGAAATTAGCGCTACATTGATTTTAATGTAGTTGCTCATTTATCGTAATTAAATTAATGAATCGAAACAAGTTATGCATTTTAATACTTACGGATAAGTGGCCCTATTTCTAGCCCTGACCCTAGCTGTGGCTGTCTAAACTGATATATGGTTCCTATATAAGCTAACACTAATGCATTTATAAAATAATTTCAAAATGTTGCGTGCAATATGACTTTTATTAAATACAGTATAACATTTTTTCTTACAACCGATATATGATGTGCGTTATATTCAGAGGCGTAGCGACTCTTCCCGGCGCCCGGGGACAAACTTTCGATTTGCACCCCGCCCCTCGAACTTTTCATTTGCACCCTCCCCCCCTCAAACTTTCGATTTGCACCCTCCCCCCTCGAACTTTCATTTGCACCCCCCCCCCCTCAAACTTTCAATTTGGCGCCCCCCCTAAGGTCGGAGCCCGGGGACATATGCCCCCCGCCCCCCCCCCCCCCCATCGCTACGCCTCTGGTTATATTACTGATCATTCGAAATGTTGTATTTGTCAAATCACCATAAATGTTTAAATCATATTTCTAATCATCATAAATGCCACTGCCCCCCCCCCCCCCCCACCCTTCTCTCAGCGACAAAACAAGATGGCGCGACTAGTCTTCAACAAAGGCAACCTGGGTCAGCTCAAGGACGGATTCTGTTCGCTCATCGATCTCTTCACTGACGTCCTTGAACTTCCTTTTGAGCACGGCACGTGCTTCGCCCATGACGAGATCATGGAACGGCTGGAGCGAATTGTAGGTCAAGGTTATTTCATTTGTCACGTGACTTCCTCACCTTTGACATCCGTGTATGACTTCCTGTTTGGCCGTCCTTCTCCATCTTCTTGCCTACACGGCCTGTCTTGACTTAGGGTTTATGTTTGTGTGGGGGTGGGGTGGTTTCACAAATTGGAATCTTAGTCCTAATTGTAGGTGGCCAATTTGGACCTGACGGTGAAGTAGAGTTCACCTATTTCTGTGACATCGTCAGATGAATGGATAATTGGCCATTTCTATATCAAGCCACAAAGCCAAAAAACGTAACGTAAAATATAGACATAAATTTGACAAAAGTTTTAGACCTAACATTAGACAAAGATTAGTTCCAAAATCTAGAAACTACTAGTAATGAGAAAGTGGCGAATTCGGGAACAGGTGATTTGAGGGAGCTGGCGACTTCTGGCAAAGGGCTATTCCAGGGAACTGGCGACCCCCAGCGAACAGGCGACCTCAGGGAACTGCCCACCTCAGGGAACTGCCCATCTCAGGGAACTGCCCACCCCAGGGAACTGCCCATCCCAGGGAACTGCCCACCCCAGGCAGCTGCCCATCCAAGGGAAGTGGTGACTAAAAGACAAACTTTAGAAGTAAATTCTGGACGAAACAAACAATGACAAAACAAATGAGCGCAATAGCAAATTGACCCCTGCGGTGTCCAGGAAATGACTTCAACGTTTCGTTTGTCCCTCAGGACCAAACAAAATGGCGGCCCATCCGGAACATGTTCATCCTTGACCCCTTCTACGGCTACTGCAAGGGCAACTTCTCCGAGGACGAGAAGGTGTCCCCGGCCAAGGTCATGCTGGACTTTGTCAACGTCTTCGACCAGCTGTCTTCTGACCTCAAGAGGAAGCTGGAGGTAATGGTCAACTGACAGGTCATGGGCAACTGACAGGTAATGGTCAACTGACAGGTAATGGTCAACTGACAGGTAGTGGGAAAATGACAGGTGATGTCCTGACAGGTAATGGTCAACTGACAGGTAATGGTCAACTGACAGGTAATGGGCAAGTGACAGACAACCAGTTATCGACATGTGACGGATCAGTGGCTGATCCATTACAGTTAAAGCACATCAAAATTAGCAATATGTTTGCTAGTTTAATTAAGCCGTTCCATTTATGGCTAGAATATTAGTGCCATTGCTAATGTCAGGAGTTATGATTAAAATATTAGTGCCATTGCTAGTGTTAAGAGCAGTGTTTATATGTGTGCGAGTTATTCCTGGAGTAATAAAACCACCATTCGGGTTAGGCTAAGGAAAATGATTGAACATAAAGCAACAACCCCTGTCACCATTTGACTGAAACAGGTCCTTCCCAGAGTTCCACCTTACTTTCATCCAAACGAGGCCAACAACATTTTACTTTCATGTTATGTAACCGTTACCGCACGTAAACGGAAAAGTCGACCGATGACGTCGATAATTATTAGCTGGTCATGTGACCGATTTTGTATTGCGTCGATAGAGATCGAAGTCCAATATTTATACAACCACCTGCATAAGCCACGGGGCTGGAGAAAAAAAATTGCGAGCTTTTTAAGTCTGTAATTGGCGGTGGTGATTTCAGGCGAGGCGCGATTAAAAGTCGATTCGTTTCATCCCGGGGGGGGGGGGGGGGGGGGGGGGGGGTCCGTGGCGTTTGGAAACGTCCCGCGCGGTTGTTGCACGGTCGACAGAGTGACTACAACATGGCCGCACCTTGTTCTTTCTGACGGACTTGTGTTCCGGGTAGTTCGCGGACATTGTGGGGGTACGCCGGAAGTTACGTCACCAGCTGCTATTTTTAGCCCGGTGTTATATCTAGCTAACACGTCGACTTCCAAATTAAAATGAATGTTGTTGATTTCCTTTCCTATCTCCGTCCGTCCTAGATTTCATAAAATATATTGGTTTTAGTAATCTCTAAAATAGGGTTGTCCAACACATGAAAAAAATACAATAATAAAGCGGAAGTGACGTCTACTAAACCTAATGGTATATTCGAATATAACAGTTACGGTTACAATGTAACTTTAGGGGTCATCCATTTATGACGTCCACACGGGGGGGGGGGGGTCCGGAAAAAAATGAGTTTTGTGGACGCGTATGGACTTTTAAAAGGGAATTAAGTGGATTTTTGTGAAGGGGGGGGGGGGGTCCAAAATCCCAAAAAATTGTGGACGTCATAAATGGATGACCCCTTAGAGAAATAGGGCAATAGAAATTTTAACAAAGTATGTGGCTTAACTGCTTGTTTTTCGAGACGTATTTTTTTTATATGTTGTTTTTTTTTTAAATATGATTCAGTTATAATATTATTCAGAATGTTTTTGAGAAAATGGAATTGAGTAAAGTACGACTGTCGACTATCAGAAATCGCCCAATAATTAAAGGAAACCTCGATATGGGGGCACATACAGTCAAAACACCACATACACAGGTCGCCAACACATTACTCAGCTGGTGTCAGCTTATAAGCGTGTATGTGCTAACACCGTACGCTGCATGTTGTGTGCATCACACACGGTTTGACTGAAGTACTCACGCGCGAGATTGGGACAGTTGGGGCGTGTCATGCGTGTAAATGTTACAGTTGGGGGGGGGGGGGGCGTGGGGCGTCATGCTGGTTGTAATCAACATGTTGCATGTGGGGAGGGGTGGGTTATGATAATAGAGTGCAGGTTTTTATTGTGTCCTGGTCATGATTTGCCTTGTGGTTATAATAATATTAAACGATTTTTGTAGACGTATGCAGCACAAACTGACACACACATACACACACACACACACGCAGACACATGTATGCGCACATTGACGCATACAGGCACATGCGAAAACACAGAAGCACAAAGCTTCACGCCATTATTACTGGTGAGCAAACACACACGCACACACTCTTGTTTACATAGGATTAATAGTTAGATGTGGGTTGAGAATGAGTTAGCTCCCCTTAACATACAGTATTAACACAATAACAAATATAACACACAACAGTATCACGTAAATAACACAAACAACTGTATTACGTAATAACACAAACACAAAAGTATTACGTAAAGACTTCAAACAACATTATTACGTAAGAGAAGATTGTCCCCATACATCAATAGACTTTAATTTCAGTCTGACGAGTTTTAGCCCTCCCCTCTTGAACGGCCGCTGAAACTCACAATTCGTGTTAACGTTTTTACTCAGCACAGCATGAGTTGTTTATCGTCATTTAGATCTGTGAGCCCGGCCGTTCACAACACAACTATTGACTCACAACAACGGATTCTTCAGGCATATTTTTACTGGAGGGTTGGTGGGTGTGGTGTGGTTTGTGGGGGGGGGGGGGGGGGGGGTGGAGGGTCACTTGAAACTATTGGAAAAGAGATGGCGGGCGGGCGGGCACTGGTCAGAGGCGTAGCGACCCTTCCCGGCGCCCGGGGACAAACTTTTCGATTTGCACCCCGCCCTCAAGATTTCGACTTGCACCCCCCCCCCCTCAAACTTTCGATTTGCACCCCCCCCCCCTCAAACTTTCGGTTTTGCACCCACCTCTCGAGATTTCGATTTGCACCCCCCTCAAACTTTCAATTTGCACCCCCCTCAACCTTTCAATTTATTTTTCCAACCCATTTTGGCGCCCCCTCAGGTCGGCGCCCGGGGACATATGTCCCCCTCCCCCCGCTACGCTACTGGCACTGGTTAAAGTTAAAATATTCTTGACTCCGAAAAGACTAGACATTGACTATTCGTACGCTGTCTTTGAGTTAACATTTTGTTCTCTGTGATTTGTAGTTCGATCTACGATTGATTGATTTATTTGACAGAACTACGAGAAAATTATTGGCACTTTGACCAAGCAAAAACAGGAAGTTGAAAGTAAGTGATGGTAGATTCAGTTGAAAGTAAGTGATGGTAGATTCAGTTGAAAGTAAGAGATGGTAGATTCAGTTGAAAGTAAGTGATGGTAGATTCAGTTGAAAGTAAGTGATGGTAGATTCAGTTGAAAGTAAGTGATGGTAGATTCAGTTGAAAGTAAGTGATGGTAGGTTCAGTTGAAAGTAAGTGATGGTAGATTCAGTTGAAAGTAAGAGATGGTAGATTCAGTTGAAAGTAAGAGATGGTAGATTCAGTTGAAAGTAAGTGATGGTAGATTCAGTTGAAAGTAAGAGATGGTAGATTCAGTTGAAAGTAAGTGATGGTAGATTCAGTTGAAAGTAAGTGATGGTAGATTCAGTTGAAAGTAAGTGATGGTAGATTCAGGAAGTTGAAAGTAAGTGATGGTAGATTCAGGAAGTTGAAAGTAAGTGATGGTAGATTCAGGAAGTTGAAAGTAAGTGATGGTAGATTCAGTTGAAAGTAAGAGATGATAGATTCAGTTGAAAGTAAGAGATGGTAGATTCAGTTGAAAGTAAGAGATGGTAGATTCAGTTGAAAGTAAGAGATGGTAGATTCAGTTGAAAGTAAGAGATGGTAGATTCAGTTGAAAGTAAGAGATGGTAGATTCAGTTGAAAGTAAGAGATGGTAGATTCAGTTGAAAGTAAGAGATGGTAGATTCAGTTGAAAGTAAGAGATGGTAGATTCAGTTGAAAGTAAGAGATGGTAGATTCAGTTGAAAGTAAGAGATGGTAGATTCAGTTGAAAGTAAGAGATGGTAGATTCAGTTGAAAGTAAGTGATGGTAGATTCAGTTGAAAGTAAGTGATGGTAGATTCAGTTGAAAGTAAGTGATGGTAGATTCAGTTGAAAGTAAGTGATGGTAGATTCAGTTGAAAGTAAGTGATGGTAGATTCAGTTGAAAGTAAGTGATGGTAGATTCAGTTGAAAGTAAGTGATGGTAGATTCAGTTGAAAGTAAGTTATGGTAGATTCAGTTGAAAGTAAGGGATGTTAGATTCAGGATGTTTTAAAGATGTTGATGAATGATGTTCAGAATGTTTAGTGAAAGTTAATTAAGGATGTGAAGTATGTTTATGGGTAAAGTTCCCTTTCGAACCGGACGTTCCATGAGGCAGGTCAAGTAGAGTACACCTGTTTCTGTGACCACCTCGATTTATGAAAGGGCAGTTTGGTCAACACAATGCCCAGCCGCCTTTACTTTTCCTAACGTCAGTTAGGTACCCATATGAGCTCGGTAGGCTCAGTGACATTGAACTTACTTGAACCCGGATTCAAACTCGAGACTTTCGGATTAGTAGTTTATCGCACTACCTGCTATGCCACGCCGTCCTATATCTGAAGTTTAAAAGTATATTGACATTAGATTTGGAAAATGTTGATATAATGTATGTGTTTATTGATATTATGGGTTCACTGTGCTCACTGACTCAGGTCAGGTCTACTGATACAAATAACCAATTACTAAAGGCAAAGGTTAGCGCTTATCCACGCGCCAGATTAACATATTCATACAGCAAGTATTGCTGCTAAGGTCACGTCATCCACAAACAGCTTTAGCTCTACCCATAATCCTAACAGCCCTAGTCCTAACCCCAGCCTTAATCCTGATCCCAGCCCTAATCCTAATCCCAGCCCTAATCCTCACCTTCAGCCTGTATACCAATAATTTAAAGTCTCCTCATAGCATTTAGGGTTAACTACAGCCCCAATTCAAAGCCTATGCATTACCAAAACCCAAAAACCATAAACCTAAAGCTATACCCATTGACGTAATACTTGCTTTACGAATATGTGGGTACGGCTAACCAACATGAGCCGAATGTCCACTGAGGTCAATGTCCTGTGTCCCCAGCCTCGCTGTCCAAGTGTGAGCGACAGCTGCGCGAGGAGCGGGCGTTTAACGCGGGGGACAGGACGGAGATGAAGACAGCCCAGGCCTCTATCTCGTACCTGGAGGGCGTGGTCAAGGAGAAAAACGAGAAGATTGCTGAGTAAGGCGGGGACTTGTTGTATCAGGGACATGTTGTAGGAACTTGTTTCAGGGACATGTTTTAGAAACTTGTTTTATGGACTTGTTGTTGGAACTTGTCTCAGAGACATGTTGTAGGAATTTGTTTCAGGGACTTGTAGGAATTTGTCTTAGGGACATGTCTTAGGAACTTGCTTCAGGGATTTGTTGTAGAAACTTGTTTCAGGGATTTGTTGTAGAAACTTGTTTCAGGGACTTGTTGTAGGAACTTGTTTCAGGGACTTGTTGTAGGAATTTGTTTCAGGGACTTGTTGTAGGTATTTGTTTCTGGGACTTGTTGTAGGAGTTTGTTTCGGGGACATGTTGTAGGTACTTGTCTCAGGGACTTGTTGTAGGAATTTGTTTCGGTGACATGTTCTGGAACTTGTTTCAGTGACATGTTGTAGGAATTTGTCTCAGGGACACGACGGATTTTGTTTCAGGGACATGTTGTAGGAACTTGTCTCAGTGACATGTTGTAAAATCTTGTCTAAGGGACATGAAGGAACTTGTCTCAGAGACATGTTGTAGGAACTGGTCTAATGGGACATGTTCTGGAACTTGTCTCAGGAACATGTTATAGTAACTATAAGAATATGTTTTAAGAATATGTTGCAGGGTAGAATAAGTAGTACGGATATATTTAAGGTACAAGTTTTAGGTACATGTATCACCATACTTTGACCTCTCTAATTTGCATATCCTCCCATCTCCACCTCCCCAGGCTCCAGAGGGAGAAAAACGTCCAGCTCTGGGAGCGGGAGAAGGAGAGGATCTTCTCGGAGTCGGAGAAAAGGTGAGGGTACAACGGCTTCTTGGAGAAGGCGCCGTTGTTGTATTCGTGGGTTAGGAATAAAGTGCCTGATTTGGGATGAACTCATTGTTCCAGGAATACGAAAAAGAAATGAACTGTTTAGAAATATAAGTGAACTGTTTAGGAATAGAAAGGAACTGTTTAGGAATAGAGTTGTCATTTTTAATAGTTTGCTGATGTCTTTACCTTGAGGTCAATGTTTGTTTACCAGAGCCGGCTGTGAAAGGGTTAATTTAGATTTTGTTGTTCGCCCGTCGGCTGTGAAAGGGTTAATTCAGTTTTTGTTGTTCGCCCGTCGGCTGTGAAAGGGTTAATTCAGTTTTTGTTGTTCGCCAATGTCGGCTATGAAAGGGTTAATTTAGTTTTTGTTGTTTGCCAGAGTCGGCTGTGAAAGGGTTAATTCAGTATTTGTTGTTCGCCAGAGTCGGCTGTGAAAGGGTTAATTCAGTATTTGTTGTTCGCCAGAGTCGGCTGTGAAAGGGTTAATTCAGTTTTTGTTGTTCGCCAATGTCGGCTGTGAAAGGGTTAATTCAGTTTTTGTTGATCGCCAATGTCGGCTGTGATATCGTTTTTGTCGTCTGCCAGAATCCGCAGCCTAGAAGACGATCTGCAGGAACAAAGACGGGTCAACTCCAGTTTGACCAGACGACTAACGGTCAGTGCCAGAGTTCATAGTGCTTTGTCTTAAGACTGACATTAATCAAACAAATTTGTTCATTGGATTGTGTTTGTTTCTGGAACATTATTTTAAAAATAATTTTTACAAGCCAAAATATATTTTTCAATAAGTTTATTATTTTAAAAATAAAACATGACAAGCCAAATTTTCAACCAAAATATGTCATTAAAGTTAAATTTTTAAACAGAATATGTCGTTAAAGTTAAATTTTTAAACAGAATATGTCATTAAAGTTAAATTTTCAACAGAATATGTCATTAAAGTTAAATTTTAAAACAGAATATGTCATTAAAGTTAAATTTTAAAACAGAATATGTCATTAAAGTTAAATTTTAAACAGAATATTTTGTTTAAGGTAAATTTTTAAACAGTATAAGTAATTCAAGTAAATTTTTTTACTGTCTTTTGCCAGCAAGTTGACGACAGTAACAGAATGCTGAAACTCCGGCAAGAAATGTGCAAGTCTCCCCTCTCTCCCGGTAAGGCGATGATTGATTGGTTGGTCAGATATTTCACGTGACAGTTGATATGCCCGTATTGAGCAGTTTATTTAAAAATGTTTGACTCTCATCCTATCAGGTCCTGGTAACGTCAAGTCTAGCGAGGAGCTCAAGAGAGAGATTTATCTGCTAGAGAAGGTCGGTTGTCGCCCTTTAGTTGTAGCTCTCTAGTCGTCGCCCTTTAGTTGTAGCTTCCCAGTCGTCGCCCTTTAGTTGTAAATACGTCCTTCTATATTGCGTCCTACTTCTATGTTGGGTCATACTTCTATATTTCGTGCTACTTGTATCTTGGGTCTTACTTGTATATTGTGTCCTACTTGTATATTGTGCCCTACTTGTATATTGTGTCCTACTTGTATATTGTGTCCTACTTGTATATAGTGTCCTACTTGTATATTGGGTCCTACTTCTATATTATCCTACTTCTATATTGTGTCCTACTTGTATATTTGGTCCTACTTGTATATTGTGTCCTACATGTATATTGGGTCCTACTTGTGTGTTGGGACTTACTTCTATGTTGGGTCCTACATGTATATTGGGTCCTACTTGTATCTTTTGTCCTACAGGATGTGACGTTTCTAGAGGACCAGTTGTACAACCAACAGAGGACAATCGCCACTGTCATCTACGGCTTAAAGACAGATCTGTTGTAAGTCTTGGTCTTATGACGGCACATGACTGATTTTCTGATGACGGGTGTCTGATGGTAGATGTCTGATGACAGATGTCTCATGACATGTCTGATTGTCTTATGACAGATGTCTGATGAGAGATGTCTGATGGTAGATGTCTGATGGTAGATGTCTGATGGTAGATGTCTGATGGTAGATGTCTGATGGTAGATGTCTGATGGTAGATGTCTGATGGTAGATGTCTGATGGTAGATGTCTGATGGTAGATGTCTTATGACATGTCTGATGGCACATGTCTGTGTGTCTGATGACATTTTTCTGATGACGGATGTCTGATGACATTTGTCTGATTGTGAGATGACAGATGTGAGTCTGTATGTCGGATAAACGAGATCTGTTTGTTTGATTGATAAACATTATAAACGATACTTTATAAAGACATAACTCAAATAAATCTCATTCAAAGATATCATTTTCCCATCATGTTTCCATCATTTTCCCATCATGTTTCCATCATTTTCCCCCACATCCACACTACACATGATCGTACCATTGGTTAAATTACAAGAATTGAATCGACTTAAAATTTTGTTCCGTAAATTTCGCCAAGTAAATTACTAATTTTGTCACAATTCTGCCAACTATGTTCAATGTTGCTACTAACGACGGCTTTAAAATTCTGGAACAGCTGAAAACTTTTAGAACCTACCGTCAAACAAAAACAAAGAATTTTTTTTTTATTGAGGTTTTGTTATTTTTGGTGGGGAATTTGTTGAAGTCTTAAGATATAATAGGGGTGTGCGCTACGGTTATCACGTGGTTACCTGCGATAAAATTAATACCACTACAACACTGATTCTAAAAATAGCCTGATTAACTCGCTCCAAGTGTAAATTTCACCATTTAAGGATTTACCTAGTTTTCCCAACTCACCAAAACAATACACTTCTCCCTCATTGGTGAGTTTTGTTTCATTAATTAATTAATCTCGCTCTTAATTTTTCAGCATCATAAGCGACAACCTGACCGACGTCAGCAAGGGTCACGTGATCGACAAGGACTTTGTCCAGGTCTGCGAACTGGTCTCCTTGGTGTACAACGCCCTCTTGGAAGGGGACTTAACCGAGGCGCAGAAAAAACTGCCGCCGCACTACTCTTATCTTCCTTTGGTAAGGGGAAAATAATACATGAGTTATTTCCTTTTGACCGATGTTTGTGTTTTTTTTTTGTTTTGAGTGCTAGGTCAGTCTAAAAATAACCCCAGTGTTTTTTCCGTTGATAACAAAGTTTGAAGCGACTTCTCTTTGAAGTGTTAGAAAATCGACTTCTATTATCGGTACTATTTTTAGTTTCTAAATGGAGTTGTATCAAAATGCATTCAATTTAACACCAATTCGTTTTACTAAACGTTTCAATCGTGTGTTATACTTAAACCAATCCTGGCCCTAAGCCCTTATTGTTTTAATCTAAGCGAATAAATCAAAGATAAAATATTGCTCTCATCATTTGAACTCTATTACGGAGAAGCACCAAAAATATTTTCTGGTTTTGATGACTCATAGCTAGCAATATTTCAATCATTTACAAACATTTAATTTCCAATTTTAAAGGCTTTCACAAATGTACATCACTCTAAACGCTTCGCTAATAATGTGCGCTGTAGCCTAGTTTAATACTAATTTTACATCGTGCTTGTGTTAACACTCTTACATTGGTTAGATGACAAGATACTTACACTAAGGTCATGATTACATTTGGCTACTTACCTTGAATTACACATGCGAATTTTAAAATGTGTTTAATTTTCAACCCAAAAAAAAAATCTTGTTTCTGTTTTCAGGATTTTAAAATTAAAAGAGTTCGACGAGTCTCAAGGTCAAAGTGAGTCATGTTGTTACACTTAAAGATAATTAATTAAGGTTGTAGTTACTTCATTAATTGGGTTTAAAATAGCTATGAATATAGAGAATAATTAGTTTTTTAACTATAAAAATGAAGTGTATTTATTGTAAGCAAACTAGTTCCTTCTTAATCAATTACAACTTAATGACGTGATTTTTGTATAGCTGCTACTGCTGCATTTTTTATAGCTACAAATGGCATAACAGCTACAAATGTTGTCATAACTACTAACTACAAATATTATCATAGATACAAATGTTGTCATGGCTACAAATGCTATCATATATACACATGTTAACATTACTACAAATGTTAACATTTTGAAATATTTAGCACCAGAGTTGTTTTGCTACAAAATTTCATTTTTTTTATTTCAGGACATATGTACGGGATGACACATTGGACAATTTCCGGTCAGTTACTGACGTCATCACAGCTAGTTAAGCTGTTGTTTTTTTTTAAAGCCGGCGAGTAAACGTTTGACTTAATATTTGACCTCTAACCCCTGACCTGTCCCCAGATCCACCACCCTGCCACCCCTGAGAGGACCTACGGACAGGACATCGGTCAAGGACGGGAGAAACGAGGACATGCTGGGCAGCATCAGCGAGAGTCCTATTGGTCAGTTGATGGCGTTGTGACGTCACTGGTCAATTAATGTACCCCCGGGGTATCATGGGTAGCCTACTATTACAAGTTGGTGAATATGTAGATGAATTTATAAAAGGTTTCTAATGTAGTTTGATGACAATTTACATTTAATACAGGGTTAGATTTGTGTGCAATAATGTTTTAACCAACTAATTTTGTGATATGGGAAATAGCCCAACTGTTGTGAAGTCTATGGGAACTGGGATATAGTTATAAGGCAGACCTAGCATGTATTATCCATGAACCACTAACCGATAGTTGTTGGCCACCACCATGTAATCGTGGGCTGCACGGGGCCCGCGGGCCGTGGTTTGTACGTACCTGCTGGTTCATGTAATCGTGGGCTGCATGAGGCCCGCGGGCCGTGGTTTGTACGTACCTGCTGGTTCATGTAATCGTGGGCTGCACGAGGCCCGCGGGCCGTGGTTTGTACGTACCTGCTGGTTCAAGTTTCCTATGTTTTCAATTTGTTACAGAAGAAAATCCGTGTCTGGTGGATCCTATAGACAAACAGATCAACACGACAGCCTGTATGAGATACTTCCCTCACATGTCCATGGAATTTGTAAGTGTACCCAGTGGTTATACCACACACCACATGCCCGCATACCATATACCACACATATACATGACGCAGTGTACTACATACATATATACGAGCACACCCCAAACCACACCATAGGCACACCCCATACCACACAATACGGCACAAATCAACATTGTTTTTTCCAGATCAAAGACCACTGGCTGAGGTTCAAGGAGTTTGACGCTGACGGCAACGAGAGTCTAGACTTTACTGAGGTAATTTATACTCAAATTTATAGACTTTACAGAGGTAACTTTTAGACTTTATAGAGGTAACTTTCACAGTTTACAGAGGTAACTTTTAGACTTTATAGAGGTAAATTTTAGACTTTACAGAGGTAATTTATAGACTTTACTGAGGTAACTTTTAGACTTTACTGAGGTAACTTTTAGACTTTATAGAGGTAATTTTTAGACTTTACAGAGATAACATTCTGGAGGGTTTTTTTTATAGAATTTTCAGAAATAATTTTCATACTTTACTGACAAATTTTTTAGACTTTCAGAAGTAACTTAAATTTTAAGGATATAACTTTTAGACTAAACGAAGGTAATTTTTACAATGAACACGGGTAAATTTTAAATTGTGGATAGGTAATTTTTGGAATTTTCTGAAAAGTTTTTTTTAGACTTTTCTAAGATTTTTTTTAGACTTTTCTAAGATTTTTTTTTAGACTTTACAGTGGTAATTTTTAAACTTTTTGGAGGTAACTTTAGACTTACCTATGTTTCCATTTAAACTTGACTGAGGTAGCCTAACGTCTGACCCCGCTGTATCTAGTGCACCACAGTAAAACAACGTACATGAGTTAAGTGGCTGTAGGTGTCCCCAGTCATAGAAAACCTGTGGAGACGTGCGCTCAATGCGGACCATAGGGTCCCCAAATGTAATGGGATTACCCGTTACTTGCTTGTCTGGGCAGGGGGGACAATCGATGCTAAAATTTGAAGACTTGGCTGAGTGCTCGCCCCTTGAGCTCGGATTGTGACAGGGGAAAGACAGGCTGAAGAACGCGTAATTTGATGACGTGTCACCGGGGAGCACAACGTTTGATGACGTCGACGTATCTGTTTAGAATGACAGACACTGGGCAGAGGGTGATGCAGTGAGGCCACACAGACTATAAAGTTGGGGGGGGGGGGGGGGGGGGGGCCACATAATTATATGAAGATAAATAAATAAATAAATAAATAAATAAATAAATAAATAAATAAATAAATAAATAAATAAATAAATAAATAAATAAATAAATAAATAAATAAATAAATAAATAAATAAATAAATAAATATATATATATATATATATATATATATATATATATATATATATATATATATATATATATATATATATATAATGTTACAGGTAGTGAAAGCTCTGACGTCAATGGGGTTACAGTTTACAGCTCAGCAAGCTGAGGTAGGTGTCTGACCTTTGACCTTTGTACACCCATTTCTTTGTTGGATTTGGGAGCATAGAGCATGTGTCGGCAACGGTTCCCAGAAAGATGCGCAACGGAAAAAAGCGCAAACAGAAAAAAATGCGTTTTTTCCGTTGCGCATTTTTTACGCTTTTTTCCCTTGCGCTTTTTTCCGTTGGGCATATTTCTGGTCACCGTCGACAACCAGTGATATCCTGGCCCTTGCTTGGTTCATTAATGCAACGGCGGTACTCACTACTGAGATGTTCTAACTCGACTGAGCTTAGAAAACTTACACAAAAGATGGTCATACAGTAACTAAAGTTCCCTTTCGAACCTGACAACCCACGGTGAAGTAGAGTACATCTGTTTCTGTGACCTCGGCATGTGAAGGGATAATGTTGTCAGCACTATGCCTCGCCAATGTTACCTTACTCTATCATTTGTTATTATCTGTTAAAAAACTGACATAAAGCTTCAAACAGTAGTTGTATAGTGAAATCAAAGCATACAATTTATCATAACATTTTTTACTCAAAGATTGTCGAAAGTTAAAGGTTTTGTGCATGGGGTTCTTGCATTTAGTATGTTGCTTGAATTAGGGGTCAGATTTATAATGGGAGTCTTTGTTCAATGTTATTAAGCCATTAACCCCCCCCCCACCCCCACCCCTACCCACCCCTACCCACCACTTTACCCGGACAGGAGGCGATGCGAGAGTCTGACCTTAATAAAAGCAGAACGTTGGACTTCTATGAATATCTCACAGTGGCAGACAAACTCTTCTCAAAGAAAGGTAACGCTCTCGTTAGAGAACTTGACTGTAGACTTGAGTAGCCGCCCTTATGTGAATTTATTTTTCACAATGCGTGTTAATTTTTATTAACCTGCTTATTGTTTTTAATAGCGGTAATTTAATTGGTGATGTCAGGTTTTAATTAATTAACTTCATTCTCAAGGTCGTTCGGAGCTATTTCACACGGGGGCAGCCAAGATGAACAGGAAGGTCATCGCTAAGACATGCGCAGTCATGTAGCGCAGTCATACAGCGCAGTTATGTAACGCAAACATGTAGCGCAGTCATGAGCTCAGTCACGTAACATAGTTACGTAACGCAGTCATGTTATGCAGTCATGTGCGCAGTCGTGTAAAATGAATTATGTAGCGCAGTGTCGTGACGTCATGACGTCCTGTTTTGTATAATAATGGCACACACAAAATACGAAATTTGTAATTAGTGTAATTAGTGTAATCCCAATATGACGTGTCACTACAAGCATTACATATGATTTCGACTGACAAGATGATTTTGACAAGAGCTCGTTCGCAAGATTTCACTGTCAAAATGTTATCGACAAAAAGGTTTGTTTCACTATCGTTTAAAATAAATAAAAATTAGCAAGAACCAATATCTGGTTATTTTGTAAAATATTTTTGTACGTGTGGAAGAAGAGTGTCGTGGATTTGCATGAAAGTGTGGAGTGGAAGTGTGGAGTGGAGGGATCTTGTGGAGTGACTTTGAGGTGTGGGGTGGAGTGATCTTGTGGAGTGACTTGGAGGTGTGGGGTGGAGTGATCTTGTGGAGTGACTTGGAGGTGTGGGGTGGAAGTGTGGAGTGTCGTGAAAGATGTGGAAGTCAATGCCGATATCATAACACCTACAGTCATTACGCCTGGTTCCTTCCGCAGCCTGAGCACACTGGCGAGTGTTTAAACACAACGCATGAAATAGCCAAGTTTGTGAAACACTGGTAGGAGTGGGCTGGCCCGCCGGTCTACCAAGGAAAATCCCGGTGGGCCCCCTAGGAAAATATCTCGGTGGCCCCCAGGACCGGTGCTGTAGTTGGTTTATTAGTGTTTACCATTTGATCACTCCTTCATACCGAGGCGTAAAATTCAGGCTATGATGGAGAAAAACGCCCAACGGAAATTTCAATCTGGGTTTGGAGCCCCTTTTTTTTTAAATCTCCGGGCCTCAAGAACACAACCAGTCCACCCCAGAACACTGACGAGTGTTTAAACACAACGCATGATATTGCCAAGTTTGTGAAACAGGATCAAGTTGTTTATCCGAGTGTAATTCTAACCGGAAGTCAAGATTGCAGAAGTTCCATCAGTTACTGCCCTTTTGTGGGTTTATTTGAACATTAATAATGGGATGGAGTGGTGGGGGTTGGGGGGGGGGGGGGGGTGACGCCCACATAACATTTTATTTTGAGATGTAAATCAATTCTATTTTATTTTTACATGATTTTTTTTAAACAAACACAATTATTTGTTTATCCTCTTTCCAATGATGTTTGGTGATTTACTATTTCATGTTAAAATTTTTACCTTGGATTTTTATGTTGGGACATTTTCCTGAACACCGAGAATTTATTAAGGTCTGACGTAAAGTTGTGCGTTGATATATTTCTTGGGTCGGGATCCCTATATATAGTCAAATCATATACACATACATATATTTGTATATGTATGTGTGTGTCATAATTTGGTGGAAATAAATTTATTATCTGTCAACACTACCCTGACACTGAAACATTTTATACAAGATATTGCAAGGGGATAGCGTGGTTCAGAGGTAGAGCGCTAGACAAATGATCAGAAAGTCTTGTGTTCGAAACCGTTTTCAAGTCAGTAGAACGTCCCTGAGTTCACCCAACTCTGATTGGCACTTAACTCACGTCGATGTCACAGAAACAGGTGAACACTACTTCACTTGCTCCATGAACTGTTAGGTACGAAAGGGAAAAGTTTTTTTTTACTTTATATCAAACAAAGAATCTTAATTTAAAACACACAAAACAAAACATTCTGACGTTTGTAAACTTGTCATTGTTCTGATTCTTTTCTTACGTTCGGGACTGCTGGTATTGTGACGTCATAGGCTGTCCCTGGTCCGACTTCCTGTTGATAGAATGACGTCACGGAAAAGACAGTGAAAGATGCGCGGATTGTTGACTGCGCACACTCGGGGCCGATCTGGTGGATGTTGACTCTGGGAAAGCAGACGTCAGCCAACAGATAGCAGACGTGATGACGTAGTTGGGAGAGTCGTAGGAGAAAATAGGGGGGGGGGGGGACACAGCTTGAAGGAGGGGGGGGCAAAATGAGTGGAGAAGGGGTTGGCTTTTTTAGAGGTCTGGAAGGCGTACAGTTGAGGGTAGGGGAAGGTAGAAACCATAGGGGTGGGGTTGAATAAGGGAAACACGGCGGGGCGGGAAGAGAGGGGTGGAAAGATAGTGGCCAATCAGATAGCTAAATTTAGGAAACATTGTCGCTCTGACGTCATAGTTACAAAGAAAGTGACGTCACTGTAGAAAAAATAATACAAGCTAAAAACATAACATCAGGATTGTAAAATTAACTAAAAAAACATAAACAAGGATTGGACTTAGGAAATAAAACTAGAATTGAAGTCGCATCTCGCTACTATACATCGTTTCAATATATTTCACTATTTTATTTCCGCATTCGGTTACACCAATATTAGAGTCAATACCACCGTTTATTTTAGAATACGGTTAAGCATGCATTAATTATTTGGTTAAATCCCCATCTTGAAATACTTGCGTATTTTCACAAACATTTGTTTACTTATTGTTACGGATTATTTGTAGCTACCCTTGTACAGTAGCTAAATTACACAAAGGTTAGACTCAATATTGTGGTAAAGAAAGTTTGAGAGACTCGGTATAAATCACTCGTAACACTTATTGTTAAAACGTTTTTCATTTAAAACACACACACACACACACACTCATAAATACCGTTTGTTTGATTTTGTTTGCTTGTTTGTTGTTTGAATGTACAAGTAGTCTTTGAATTATACATATTGTGAGTTAGAGTTCGCGCAAATCTAGTTGGGTTACCAACACGGCACCTTGAAAACAACATAGACGTCCCTACACTAGGATTTAAAGATTCCTCTTGGCCTCCTAAGGTAAGAAACTAACTATTCACTATGCAGTAGCCAGTGAAGCCGTTGAGTGACCTCAACCTTTGAGCTCTACTCGTGGTCACAGTACGTACATCAAGCGAGACTTTGAATTTCACACTTCATGTCTTAGTGCGGACTTCCACGAAAACGTGTGATGGTTAGTTATTGAAGTTGCGGGGTAAAATCTCTTGGACATAAATGTGAGTGCCATTATATATCTACTAGTTTGTACCCGTGCTTCGCTACGGTCATAGAAATGGCGGAACGCTCTGACGCATGCGCACCGACTGCGCGCTGGTGTCGGTCCCTCCCCGCCATTTTTTTTACAGTAGCTTAATTTTCGTCAATATCCATATCCACATCAAAGTGCTACCAGTGAAGGAATATCCACAACAACGCGGAGACCGCAACTCGGTAATATCCATATACGACGGGGTGGTGTTTGTGCATGACGAGGGCACTGACTTTGGGCGCGGACGCCCGGGAAAACGTGTTGACCAATTCTTGTAAGGGTTGCGGGAAAGGGAAATCTGGGCGGACGTTCGTGAGAGCTTTGCGCCATTTTTTTAACAACTTAATATTTGTGAATATCCATATCAGAGGCGTAGCGACCCTTCCCGGCGCCCGGGGACAAACTTTTCGATTTGCACCCCCCCCTCGAGATTTCGATTTGCACCCCCCCCCCTCAAACTTTCGATTTGCACCCCTCTCAACCTTTCAATTTATTTTTCCAACCCATTTTGGCGCCCCCTAAGGTCGGCGCCCGGGGACATATGTACCCCCCCCCGCCCCCCGCCCCCCCCCTCGCTAAGCTACTGATCCATATCCGCACCAATACGACGCATACACAAGGGACAGTGAGAATTCAGATTGTTTATATTTTTAAAAATATTTGTATAGGCCATATAGACTACTTCATTTCCGCCATTTTTAAGTCTTCATAATTTAAAACATTTTCAGCTGCGTTCATCGCATGTGCCGTTTTGTTCCTTTTGTATTTATCTATTGAGCGTTTATTTCACTTTCTTAAATAGAAACGGTGAAGAGGACATGAAATTATTTTCATAATTTTAAATGCTGCGATTATTATTAATCATGTTTTACTTTTTATTTAAAAACCCAAAAAAAGCTGTATTGTTTATTAATTATAATTTATTTTATCACAACTTATGACTCCGTTTCCGCCATTATAGTTCTTTTGAATATAAATGTGAGGCGAAGCGATCAGTAGCAGTGCGGCGAGGTGCAAATGTAATTTGTTACATATAGACTGTATACACCTATGGAGTATATATTTGTCTGTTTGGAATGAAAACTGGGCTGAAGATATTAATAAATGAAATAATTTTATATTTAAAATGGTGCTATAATAATAAATCGCGTTTTATTTTTTATTTTTTTTTATTTTTAGCAGCATTGGTTTTAAAAGTATATTTTATTCCTACTTTTTTGTCATCGTGAATACAATTTTCGAAAGATTTCATAAAACAAATCAGGTTGGGTTAGTGTTACAAAACGTCACAGTTTGATTATTTTTATTGTTTTAAGTAGAGTTAAGGTCAGATGAAATGGGTATTGTACTAAGTTTAGAATGAGACTGGCAAGTGTAATTAAACTTGTGAGTTAATTACAAAATGTACTTGGTTAATCAAACTGCTCGGTCTAAAGTTTGTTGAGGGATAATCATTATTTGTGTTGTGCTGGATTGGTGAACGGAAAAAAATTCACAGGAAAAAAAAAACACAGAAAAAAAGTCAGTTTTTGCTAGGAAAAAAAGTCACAGAAAAAAAAGTCACAGTGGAAAAATTTTATCAGAAAAAAAGTAACAGAAATAAAGTCACAGAAAAAAAGTCACAAAAATCTTTTTAGAAATATTTTTATTAATTTGGTAAGAATTGTAAAATTTTGTATGTTTATTGTTGTGGGTTGTATTTTTTATAGCATAAATTATTTATAGACGTTAAAAGCATTATGATTTATAACAATTGTAAGTAAAAATACTCTAAGATAATTAACACAACAATCTCAACTTTTTTTGCGTATTTAGTTAAATACGCGGTAGAAAAGTTAATTATAAAAGAAATGTAGGCACATTTTGCCGTAGGCTATTCTCTGGTTGGCCTCTCCTCAGTAGGCATTGTCCGAACATATTTTGTGTTGTTGACGTTAATGACAGCCTTTGAACCTTGTCGGCTTTCTGTTTTGATCCTAAGTTTTGTTATGTAATGAGCGTGAGAAATGTGGACAGTAAAGGTGGTTGAACTAAACATAACTATTGTTGCCATGAGTTGAGGGCAGCAAGTCAGATGAACTTACCATTTCACGGTAATTTAATATTTGCATTTAAAAAAAAAAACACGATGAAAAACGTGGACTTTGGAGCATTCTAATAAATGCTACTAATCT